TTTTTTTTTTTTTTGATTGTAAAAAATTTCAAAATATGTTGGAATAATGTATGAATTTATAATATTGTGAAAAAATTACTAAATAGAACTTCAATTGAAAATAAACTAATTTCTTTTGTTATAAAGAAAATATTAGTGTGATTTTTCATTATCTATCAATATTTAGTTTTCTTCCACAATTATTTTTACGTTTCGATTCAAATGAAAGGATAAATGGCCTTATCGCCATCTGTCCTTTATTCATTCAAATTGAAAATCTACAAATAGACAATTAGTTTTAAAAAGTTTAACAGAAAAGTTTTTCAATACGTTTGTTTAAGTGTGACTGATATCCAGGGAAGTGTTAGAAATAATGAAGCATTTCACTCAATCATCTTTGATGTTTTTTGATAAATACACCGTTGATCAACAAATCATTTTCAAAGTAAAAGCATAAAAAACATGTTTTCTTTCTTTAGTGTACAACCTTGAAATTCTCATGGAAAAAACGAATACTGTTAAAATCAGTGTGCCACATTTAATGATAGAAAAGTTTTGAGTAAAAAAACCGTAGAAAATGATTTTTACAAATAGAAAACCTTTCGGTATATACAATATGAGTTTTCACTAGATCAGATAATTTTACTAAACCTTGAATATAAATATAATCAGTTGCAAATTATTCATTGAATATAAATATTATCAATCAGAGTAACATTATTATCATTTTATTGATAACCACAATGTATTAAATGTGTGATTTGAATTCTAAAAAAATTAATTGTTGAAAGTATTTATCAGTGACACATTATGAAATATATATGACAATATATATGATTTCATGTTATATCCCAAAAAATATCAACTGGCTCAAATTTTCTTTTTCATCATAGTCTAATAAAAAATACATCATTTGAAAGAGTATGAAAAACTGAATACGATGACCTAATTTTGAGAAAAAGATACTCACAAATCTCTAGCAAAAACTTTTAAAATACATTTACAGACAAAATATTTGAGGTATATATATAATTCTTTTTATTCTTTTACTTTAATGACCTATATTCTTTCGTTCTCTATGTATATTATCGTTAATAATTGATCAATAAATGCTATAAACAGATTAAATATTTTATATTTATTATATTTTGACTTTTCATTTACAAATTGAAAGACATTGTTGAAAAATAGTAAATCAACATGATGAACTGAATGTACTCAGAAAGAAAAATAGTTTTTTATGTCAAATATTTTTATTCTCATTAATTGAACTTTCCAAAGCAAATACCTATATGATGTGTTAGCTAAACGAATTTATTGTTATCGAAGTTTTGACAAAGCAATTGCTAAAGGAGAGCAAATGTATTTGAGTACAGTTTTAGTTCTTGTTTCTGATTTGAAGAAGAATTTTAAATTAGGATTTACCTTATAATGATATAGGTATCTACTGATTGCGACTATATTAATGAAGTAAAACTTAATTAGTACTCTATCACAATTGAGATGATACAAGTTTTTATTTGAAATTAAAACTCAAGGTAAATACAGATATTAATAGTACTCTAAGAAAATTCGTTTTAGACGTAAAATAACCAAGAAACGCAGTTCAATATACTATCTTAAATATAATAAGGTCATGTTAATCATAATTGAGAAAGGTTCAAAAATATTTAGCTTTAATTGTAACCATACAATCAAACTTATTAATGTACTTAATAAAAATCAATGACTTGAATCTTAAAGACTCAAGTCAGAATGATGCAAATGATCTAGAAAGTCAATTAACATAAGAAATAAAAGATAGATTGAACTATTTTAAATATTATTTGTAATTAGTTTTTAGAAGATAAAATTCATTTTTTTCTGTCAAATGAGAGACTTTCAAATGAATCTCTGTAGTTTTGACGAAATCTGTAAAACAAAAATTAAAAAACTTTTAATATTCATTAACGAACTTTTCGACATATGTAAAGTGTACTAGAAGTTTATGTATTTCTTAATAGCAACACTACGTTCTGAGTTTTTACCAGATTCAACTTTTTCCAAATAGAGTCTGACATCAAATGGAGAACCGTGTACTCTATACGATTCTCAAACTTTGATACAGTCGCAACAGATCTCTCTTTCTGTTTCATAAAGATTCCCAAAATCTTCTGGATTTTGAAAAAGTTTTATGAGATCTTCATATACAAGGTGTTACAAAACCTTTACGTCTCTCTACAACTTATAGAAGAAATGATATAACCAAGCATTTTATACCAGTCGATAGAGCTCATCGAGCTCTACAAAAACGGATATATGAAAAAATTCTAAGGCCTCTTCTTTGAGACAAAAAGTTCAAAAAATCATTTAGGAAATCTCGAAAAATGTTTAAAAAAATTCTTCGTTTTGGAATGGAAGAAAAATGCCTGATTTTTCAACAAAAATAGTTTTTTTTATTCTTTTTACTACCTGAGACGTCTCGAAATATACTCATTCGATACAGCGGAAAAATTGCGTCTGATGAGTATATTTCAAGACGTCTGATGTAGCAAAATAAATGAAAAAGCTGTCGTTGTTGAAAAATCAGACGTTTTTCTTCCATTCAAAAAACAAAGAATTTTTTAAACATTTTTCGAGATTTCCCAAGTGGTTTTTTGAATTTTTTATCTCAGAAAAGAAGGTCTAAAAATTTTTTTTATATACACTTTTGTAGAGCTCGATGAGTCCTATCGATTGGTATAAAATGCTTGGCTATATCATTTGTTCTATAAGTTGTAGAGGGAGCGTAAAGGTTTTGTAACATCCTGTATATAAGATTGAAGCAGGTTGTTTTTTTTACATGTGAAATGAAAAATTCATCATGATTAAATCAATGTTGAGACAGATTGTCAAGTTAAATACTGTACATTTTTGTGAAACATGATCTGAAAGGAGTGTTGAACTGTATTGGGTAGAAATTTTGGACCGACTCCCCCCCCCACAGACCATGACAGAGAACTCCAGAGACCATCACAGACCGTGGCAGAGAACTTCTGGACTCATCACAGACCGTGACAGAGAACCTCCGAACCCATCACAGACCGAGACAGAGAAAGTGTAGTTTGAAGCATCAAATAAACGCTAAGCTAGAAATATATCGTAAAGAAATGGACCAAAACGATGCCCATTTAGTTAGTAACAATAGATCCATCGTGTTTCACATTTTTAATCCCGCAAGGGTTTGCGCTAACAGCTTTTATATAAAGAAACATTTTTTTTTGAAAGCAGTTGAAACAAGAAGAAATACAGATAGAATATTTGCTCCATCTCTTTTTGCAAACCATTATATCTATATCTCGAATTAATTTTTAGTTTATGTTAAAGATTGTTTTTAGTATTGTATTTTCCCCTATCAACTAGTACATTTTCTTTCGTTCTTTGAAATGCAATATTACGTCATTACACATAGATGCGTGTGATCGTTTCTGTTATCTCTGGGTTATTCTTGTGCATTGTTGCTTTTCTTTCTTTCATTATTTCATCTAATCGACGTAGTATCTCTCTTGTTTATTCTTTTCTTCGTATCAAATAAATCAGATATACGCCCACATTCTCTCCTTTTTCCTGTAAAACTTCAGTACGTGACAACGTCATTGATGATTGAAAATATTTTTTCATTTACTTGAAGTAATTGCAGTATTAAGAATATGTTTGATATTCAACAAAATTATTTAAAAAAAAAATAAGACGAAATAAACAGTTCATAGCCGAATTATTTGTATAATATAAAACAAAATGAATGTTTGTAGAAATTTGAAGAAAGCTTTCACTACTATTCTTTTACATCATCAATGAATATATTGTTTCTGTAAAATTCAAACTATCTTTACTATTTCGATCAATGACTGATGGATTAATCTTTGCTATTATGTGTAAAATTATTCTATTAAAAAAAAAGTAGCTTGAGATCTTCTCAATATTTGATAATGACTAAAGGAATGACTAGTATTTTATCTAATCTTATTATCTAGCTAATTTAAAATTTTGTTCTCTAAACAGAAATGATAGTGAATAGGAATTAAAATTCAACTATGTCTGTCTTTAACTATGATCCAAATGATCGTAAAACATAGTGAAAAAGAAAATCAAGTCATATTACTTACTGGAAAATTGTGACTGGAGACTACATCCATAAAAATTTAGTTATTTTTCTTCAGAAAAAAATGAAAATTAAGATAAATCCATGATAAGTAAGATAGTCCGTTGCCTAATCTTTCATAACTGACATGAATTTTTTATTTGACATTTCCTTTTTCGTCCGAACTTTAAATGATTTATGTGAACATCTGCTTGAAAAATATGTTTTTTTTTGTCAGAAAAACCAACAAATTTTGATTGTTGATTCTCTATATATGCTATTTCAATGGTACTACTTAAAATTTTCTATGGATTTTCATTATATCTCTTTAAGCTTGTTTTGTTTGAAAGAGCGTGTCAAGATCTAGGACCTGATACAGTCCCTTTTTTCAATTAAGCTTTTTTATTATTATATTTAAGACCACTTGTATAATTAGAACATAATTTATTGAGAGTTTTTCAGAAACTGTTAAACATTTCGTACTTTTTCTGCGCATAAAAAGTTAAAGTTTACAA